CATTTATATGGTTTCTCCCCTGTGTGGATCCTTTCATGGGAAGTAAGTGCATTGCTACGAGCAAAGGTCTTTCCACACACTATGCATTTATATGGTTTCTCCCCTGTGTGGATCCTTTCATGGAAAGTAAGAGTTTTGCTATGAGGAAAGGTCTTTCCACATGCCATGCATTTATACGGCTTCTCCCTGGTGTGAATTATGTTATGGGAAATAAGATTACATCTATGAGCAAAGGTCTTTCCACATTCTGTGCATTTAAATGGCTTCTCTCCTGAGTGGATCTTTTTGTGTCTTCTAAGTCCACAGCTCTCAGTAAAGGTCTTTCCACACTCCATGCATTTATACGGTTTCTCCCCTGTGTGGATCATCTTATGCAAAATAAGATTACGTTTCCGAGCAAAGGTCTTTCCACACACTATGCATTTACATGGTTTCTCCCCTGTGTGGATCCTTTCATGGGAAGTAAGTGAATTGCTATGAGCAAAGGTCTTTCCACATTCTGTGCATTTATATGGTTTCTCCCCTGTGTGGATCCTTTCATGGGAAGTAAGTGAATTGCTATGAGCAAAGGTCTTTCCACACACTATACATTTATATGGTTTCTCCTCTGCGTGGATCCTTTCATGGGAAGTAAGCGTTTTGCGATAAGCAAAGGTCTTTCCACACTCCATGCATTTATATGGCTTCTCCCCTGTGTGGATCCTTTCATGGGAAGTAAGCGTTTTGCGATAAGCAAAGGTCTTTCCACACTCCATGCATTTATACGGCTTCTCTCCTGAGTGGATCCTTTCATGGGAAGTAAGTGCACTACTCAGAGCAAAGGTCTTTCCACATTCCATGCATTTATATGGTTTCTCTCCTGAGTGGACCTTTTTGTGGCCACTAAGGCCACTACTATAAGCAAAGGTCTTTCCACACTCCATGCATTTATATGGCTTCTCCCCTGTGTGGATTATCTTATGGGAAATAAGATTACATTTTTGAGCAAAGGTCTTTCCACACTCCATGCACTTAAATGGCTTCTCCCCCGTGTGGATCCTGTTGTGTATTTTTAGCTCACTGTTATGAGCAAACATCTTTCCACACTCCATGCATTTAAACAGCTTCTCCCCTGTGTGGATCCTTTCATGGGAAGTAAGTGTACTACTATAAGCAAAAGTCTTTCCACACTCTACGCATTTATATGGTTTCTCTCCTGTGTGGATCCTTTTATGGATAGTAAGTTGAATGCTTGTTCTAAAACATTTTGCACATTCCAAACATTTATAAGGCTTTTCTGTTGTACCAATCAGTTTTTGAGATGTAAGGAAGTTATTCCCAAGAGGAAGAATGAATGTCCCATTGTAATTTTGTCTGTTGTTTCTTCTTATAGCATCTTCTCCTTTGTTTTGGGTTAAATGGTGTTCATTTACTTGTACTTTAGCTTTGATTAGCTTCACACTTTTTCCAGTATATTTTTTCCTTATTTTCTCTTGTTTGGCACGAATGTCTTGAATCGGAGCATCAATCGAAGTTGAGCTTTCCAGATTCAAATTCATTGACTGGTTTCTCTCATGGTTTTCAAATTCTGTTCGAATTCCAAACTTCTCCATTCCATCTTTAGGACTGATCACTTGGAACAGTTCACAGGAATCTTCATTCTCCTGCCCATTATTACCTTTAAAGCAAAAAAGGAAATGAAAATGATAACGAGGTTAGTGAAAAAGATCAAAGTGTAGAAAGTCAAGTGAAATTCCTTTTGAATTTCTCAGAAATTCCATTAGGTTGTATGTTTGCATGGTTTCTATATTCATGAGTCATGAAAGCTTTGAAAATATCTAGAAAACATCTCTTTCTTTACAATTATCTATTTATATATGCAAATCTCACTCAGAATCAGTTTTGAGTTAAGGAATAGATTAGCTTGATTCCCTCTTCTTTGTGGCAGCCCCTAAGATATTGGAACACTGCTATCATGTCTCCCCTAGTCCTTCTTTTCATTAAATTAGACATACCCAATTCCAGCAACCGTTCCTTGTATGTTTTAGTCTCCAGTCTCCTAATCATCTTTGTTGCTCTTTTCTTCACTTTTCCAAGAGTCTGCATACCTTTTTTACATTTTGGCTAGATTTTCCACTACTTATCTTGCATATCTCTCATTACTTTAGGCCTTTTTTTCCTGCAAATGCACTGAAGTAGGCAAGGGAACCTATGGCTCACCAGATCGTTCCAAGGTACCATATTTTTCAGACTATAAGACAAACCTAGCTTTAGAGAACCAAAACAAGAAAAAAAATAGTTTTTGGCCTCTGCGCATCCCATTTTTGTCCCAACATCCAAAAGCACTCTCCATGCCAAAAACGGGCCCATATTTGGCCTCCCAAACCCTCTGCGCATCCCATTCTCAGCCTCCCTGACCTCCAGAGGACACATTAAAGCACATCTCGTTCTTTTCAGCCTACACAGATAAGTTCAAATAGAAATGGAAAAATACAGATAAGAAATGGCACAGAACGCATCTAATCAAAGAGACATTGACTCTTTCTTTCCTTGGAGCAGATCCTTTCCTTCTCCTTCCTTTTTTTTCTGAAAAAAACTAATTATAATCTGTCTTCTTGACTGGGGACTAGAAACTCTTACCCAGAGAGACCACGTTCCTATGGTTTTCAAGCATGACTTCCCAATGCAGCGCTTTCTGGTCAGGATCCAGCTGAGACCATTCCTCCTCAGAGAAATACACAGCCACCTCCTCGAAGGACACAAGACCCTCCTGGACACAGAAAAAAGAACAGAACGGGAGGCTTCGCAAGATCTGTTCATCTTCATCATTCATTGTCTAGTTTCATGAAAAGAAGGACTAGGGGAGACATGATATGAGAGTTCCAAGAAGCAATGGATGGAAACTATTCAAGGAGAGAACCAACCTACAACTGAAGAGAAATTTCCTGACAGTGAGAACTGTTAGGAATATGAGTCACCTAACAGCTATTTGGGTTAGAAATATATAAACCAGGATAAACATTTTAAAACTGTATCTTTTAAGAAAATGCAAAAGTGTACGTAGGTGTGGTTTCTCAAAAGGCCATAAGATGGAGCCAGTTGTCTTAGCCTTAGTCTCAGAAGAGTATCAGTGAAGTGAGTGAGTCTCTGTTTTTCCTTCTGCTGTTCCTGCGTTTCTCCTAATTGACTGCTATTTCTGCATTTGATGTAAGTCTGATACTGAACTGTTTTTGACACTGGACTTTGTTATTGGATTATCCCTGGATTGAAAACTGACTGATTTACTTGTGAATGACTTTGGATTGCTTGTTTGGATTTTGCTTAACGTTTCTGGAAGTAAAAACCTACAGTTACTGTAGAGTGTATCTGTGTGCTGTGTTTGTGTATTATTCAAACACTATTCTCAAATACGTCTCCCTATATGCGCTCATTCTCCTAACGGGGAATTACCTCAACAAGAACAATTAATCCATCGAATGACTTCCCTCCAGAAATTGTGGGTGCTCCAACACTGGAGGTGTGATGAAGAAATTGGACAGCCATTTATCTGAAATGTTATAAGGCTTCCTGTCTTAGCAGGGGTTTGGAATAGAAGACCTCCAAGATCCTTACCAACTGTTATTCTATTCCATATTCTATTCTATTCCAGGTGAGAAAATGGGCCAATCTGAAAATTGATTTCAGTGAAGAAATATCTGGGGAAGTTTTATCAAGTTCATTGATTCTGCAAAACCTTCAGTGTCTTTGAGCAAAGTAATCCCACTTCTGGATCAACCGATCTATCGCTCTGTCTGTCATTGATTGATCTAGTAGTCTGAGCCATTGGCTCAAAGGAAAAAAAGAAAGAAGAGAAAATTCACTGGGAAAATCATTTCTCAGCCGTTGCAAAGCGGGAATGTTTGATCTCCTAATCGAGGCGCAAATCAGATGATTTGAAATTGTTTTGTAGGCCAAAGTACCATGATTACATGCTCAACATGGCCACTCCCTTTGGACTTTAATAGTCTGCTTTAGTTTTTAATACGATTTGCTTATTTTTGAACTACAGGTTATAAATGAGGCTTTTATAAATGGTAATGTGGCAATGTGAGTATTTATTTTTCATTAGCCTTGCACAATTCCAAGTCAAAGAATCACCCCAAAAAAGGGTCTCTAGCAATTCCTGCCACTGTGATACATTTATTCCTATTTCTTGAAGGACTTTTTAAAAATTGCTTCCTATAAAGTCAAAGTTGGAGGAGAACCTAGAAGAACAAGATAACCAGAGGAAGCTATGCTGGCTGACAGCAACTTGAATCTGCTATTCTGCTCTCCATGTTGTGGAAGAACACAAAAATAATCCAGGCAAAAGAAGGGGGAGAAATGGAAGGAGAGAGCCCTCTGCACACCCGCTTCACTTCCTGAAGAGAGAATACAAATCCAATAAACTTTTCCTTCTCTTACTTGATTTGGAGGTTCAACTGCTGTTTGAGCTCTGTCATAAAAACCAGAAAGCTTCATTCTTTGTTTCTCTGTAAGGAAGAAATAATTTCAAAATGCATAATTAACAAAATAGGAGGAGGTATTCTAAAGGAATAAAGAGAGCTCGAAGGGAAGACAGATGGGGAATCGGAGGATCTTCCATTACCTCCTGAGGTGTCCTGACTTGGATCTTCCCAAGGGATCCTCCTGAAAAATAGCTCCTGAGGGGGATTTGATGGGTTCTTCTTTCCCTCAGGATCTCTGATCTCCACAGTGTAGTGCTTCAAATAGGAGGAAGAAAGGAAGAAGCAGAATTAATGTACAGTCACATGACACAAAGTGGATTCTTGTATTCGGAACACAACCTCAAGGCCCCCAATATCCATCCATGTGGCTGAGTGAGAAAACAATGGAACAACGTCCTACAAGAACTGGAGAATTGCCTCATATTACGAACGTGGGAGAAGTTTGGGAAGGAGGAGTGAAGCATTCAAACACTCTATTTATTACCTTCCGAGCTCCCTAAAGTCTCCCACCTGCTGCTGGAACTGCTCCTTCTGCTCCTCTGCCTGGCTCAGGAGGAAGCCTTCCACCAGGGCCACCGCCTCGGAGCTGGTCTCTGCTCCACACTCCCGCACCCAGCCCTCCATCTCTGGGGGCAGAAGGAACAGGAGATGTTCCAGAACCACCAGGTCCAGCATCTGGGCTTTGCTGTGCTTTCCTGGTCTCAGCCATCGCCTGCACAAGTCATGGAGTCGGCTGCAAAGTCCTCGGGGACCCTCAGCCTCCCAGTATTGGAAGGAGGTCCAGTGTGGAACTTCTGAAGGGAGGACGGTTCCCTCCTGCAGGACCTTCTGCCTGGTTCTGGTCCAGCTCTCCCCACAGCTCCCACGCTGAAGAGCCGCAGGGCCTTTTCCGCTCCCCTCCTTGGCCAAAGGGGCTGTCTCCATCCTTCCTCTTTCAAGCAGAGCAACTCCAAATGGCTCCAGGGACTCTGGGGGCTTGGATCTTCCAGGGGCCTCTTCCTTCACGGGACCATTTCTGGGACCGCAGGATAGATAACTTCCGGTCCTTCCGCTCCCTCCCTTCCTTCCTTCACATAACAGATAATCAATATTGGAAGGGACCTTGTAGGTCATCTAGTTAACCCACCCCACCCAAGTAGGAGACCCTTCCTTCCCCCGCAGAGGAAATCCTGGCTTGCAAAGGCTGCCGAGGTCTCCGAGGTTCCGAATCTGGGAGGGAGAGAAAAACCGACGCCCAGGATCAGAAAAGGGGATTCAGCCCCTGCACCCCCTTCCCCCAATCTGCCCGCAGCCTCAAGCGGCCCCTCCCAGCACAGGGCCCAGGGCCCCCCGAGCAGGGCCGGGAAGGAGACAGCTGGAGAGGCCGGCACCCCCACCCCACCCCGTTTCTCTCCCCTTCCGAAGACAGGATCGCCCGGTGCGAATCCTGCCTCCTCTTCCTCCTCTTCGGCCGGCCTTTCTCCCCTCCTGCTGGGCCTCTGCCAGGCCCGCCATCCCCTCCCCCCTCGTATGGAGAGGACGGCTGGGGAGCATGGGACCCGCGAACAGCCCCCCTCCCCCCATTCACCCGGGGGATGTCCCGCCTCCAGACTCTCCTGCACTCTCCGTCTCCTGCTGCGCCCCAGGGGTTAAGGAGAACGAGTGTGGCGTCCTAGAGAGGTAAGGCTCCGTGATGTCACTTCCTTCTCTGCCGCCTCTGCCCTCCAGTGGCCAATGGGGAAGCGCCTGGAGTTCCCTTCCCTCGGCGGAGGGAGCCCCCTAGTGGATCTGGGTCAAAGTGCCAGGATGATAGAAAGGACGAGAAAGAGGAGCGCGTGGGAGGGGGAAGGGATGATGGGCTTGGGAGTAGGAGAAAAGGCCGCTCTCCATTGCTCCCTGTCAGACAAAGGCTTCAGCGTCTCTGCTTCTTTTCCCCCTTTTATGTAAACCCAAATGTCTTGAAGGAGGTTTTCGTCTTTCTTCTGAAGCGTTTTAGAGCGTTTTGGTTATTTCTTATCTATAAGGTGCAACTCTACCTCCGCCTCTTTCATTAGGTCCGCTTCTATCTTTATTTAGAGGAGAGAAATTTTCTTTGTAGAAATCCCTGAGATATTGGAAGATGCACCCATGTCTCCCCTCATCCTTCTTTTCCTCAGACCACACACACCCAGTTCCAGCAGCCGTTTTCTAAAATATCTTTTAGCTTCCATCTTTGTTGCTCTTCTCTGCACTCTTTCTAGAGCCTCAAGACCTTATTTGTCGGCTTCGCGAGCGGCAGGGATTTGCGAAGCTGCGCGATCCCTGCCGCGCTAGCCGTTTTTGGGGCTCCGACCCAGCCGGGTACGGAGCTAGGCTGCCCTGCAGGGGCAGCTGAAGGTAGGGGGGATCCGGAGAAGGGTTTGGGGGTGCTGCAGACCCCCTCCCTGGCCGGCAGAACCCCCTTTTCCCAGGACGGTGCAGCGGCGGTCCGTAATGGCCGCCACAAAGAAGCTGGCAGCCGGGTAAGAATGCGCAGGAGGAAGTGGAGAAAGTGATTGAGAGGAGAAAGTTTTTCTTGGCTCCTAGGACTCTAAGACATATTTAATAAAATTCCTGAAAAGTATGACTTTCTGAATAATACCTGCCAGAAGAGGAAAAAAGCGGCTGCTGGAAGGTGCTGAAAGGATAGCTTTCCCTCTTTTCCTACGGAATAAATAACTGGATATTAAGAAACCTATTTTTTTAGGTGGAAATTGGTTTTAAGCGATGAGTGGGAAGAGAGAGGATTAAAAAGAAAATATTTGTATGCTAAGATTTGTTGGAGCAGATGCCTTAAGGATTTGAAGACTAGAATATATTGTAACAAGACTTTAAACAGATTTGGACTTTCTTTCTCTTTGATTGATATCACCCCAGAAGGAGAAAGTGAGAACTCTGCCTTGGTTTGGACTGATTGATAACTTTGGGACTGTTTTATCTTTTTTATTTTCTTTTGAATATTCTGGTTGTTGTAAGAAGAAAGAAGGAGAAAAGAAAAGAAAAGATTTATAATGGCTCTTTCTGTTGAGGAACTAAGAAATGGTGTGGAAGAAGCTTTCCTTTTCTTAGAAATGGCGCTTACTAATTATCAACAAAAATTACAACAGATGAAGACAGCAGAGGAACAAGAAAGAAAGGAAGGAGCCATCTTTAATGAATCTCAGAATTTGATCCAGAAAAAAGGA